TTCCTCTTCGACCGTGCTTATGGCAACCTCACGCCCCACCCCATGCCTTGGAGTCTTGCTCCGCCATTGTTAAGTGCTCTGAGACGCTACCCTGAGTGGAGGGCACTATATAAGTGCAAGTTGTTGTTGTATTAAAAGAAAACCAGAAATGCTGGTATTCTACTACATTGTAGGAAGGTCATCATCTGAAAGAGAACGAAAGGCTTCCCTGCTTGTCGGCCTTCCCAACTCTTCCCAGGCTCCATAACCCCATTACCCTCACCCTCGCCTGGCTCCACTGGCTCCCCATTCCTCAGAGGATTGTTCAAAATCCTTGTCCTCATCTTCAAGGCTTTCCACGGCTTTGCCGCTTCCTACTCTGTGACCTGCTAATCCCTCATCAACCTGTTCCACTCCATTCCCTCAGCTGACTCCATCCCCCGCCTGGCCCGCCCCACCATCGGCCTGCAGCCTCTCCGCCCTCACCCTTTGGAACTCCATCCCACATTCCCTTTGCCTCGCTCCCTCCCTTGCCTCTTTCAAGGCACATCTCAAGACCTTCCTCTTTGACTGTGCCTTCGGCCTCCCTCCTACCCTCCCTGCCATCCTACCCTCGCTTAACCCACCACCCCACCCTGTTCGGGTCAAAATCCCTGACTCTCCAGTGCTTTGGGACATCCTCCCAACGTGTACAAATGTAATTTTGTATTGCATTTAATTAAAATTGGCTGCTGTGTTTCGCACACAAAATCTACAGTCAATTCACTTATAACAGTATATTTTGTGAAGCACTTTGAGACGTCTCAATGCCGTGATAAGGCTCTATATCAAATGTAAGGATAATTATTAAATAGGAAGAGGGTGAAAGGCTCCTGGGGAGAGCAGGAGAATTATAAACACAAATGAGCATCAGGAAACATAATTACATCAGGAAATGTGCATGTGGAATGTAGCTCATGGGAGGGAAGAGTAAAAGAGTTGGAGATAGTAGTAGGAAGCATGAAGTATCAGTGTGCATCACAGCAAGAAAAGGAAAAATCTGTGAGCAATATAGTAGAACATTTATTTAAACAAAACTTTCATATTTTTAACAATAAGTTGTCCAAAGAGCTATGAAGTAATTACTGTAAAAGTGTGGTGACTTTTTTGTAGAAAACACAGAGCTATTTAGGTGCTGCAAGGTCACACAAACAACCATCAGATAAATGACCAATTAAGCTGTGAGCTCAATCTACTTTTAACTGTGGCCTGATTTTTAAGGACAGGTTTCCTCCCGGCTTTGAGCGAGTGTATGCTGATGCTAACTGCTTCCCTCTCCCCTTCGTAATGTTGCTGTTTATGTTAGGCCCTGTGTGTTTCTGCAGGAACAGTGCCTCAAAGTGCTATGATTTTGCATATTGAATTATTTTAAATCCCTCAACTGCATCTTTGCTCTTTACATTCCAGAAGCAGATGTTAGTTCTGCTGTTGTTGAAAAATATATTTATCTGGTTGTTAATCTCACATGACTCAATCCGCCTACATTTTCCCCTTTGCCTGATCTAACCTGTTAATCTGTGTTTATACAAAACTGGAATACAGGATGAAAAATACATTTAAAAGAACAGACAATTACTTCCTAGTATGTGCATATCTTAGTTTAAAAGGGTGTAAAAATCTTAACCTTATTACTGTGAACATAGATTCCCATGGAAGATACAGGTCTGGAAAACACCATTACATTCATATCTAGCAAAGCTCTACATTTGTTTTTGACTACATCCACGACTGTTTGTGGGACACTGCTGTGCACAATTAGCTGCTGCATTTCACCCACAAAACACACAGTCAGTCCACTTTACAATATATTCTGTGAAGCGTTTTGAGCTGTCTCAACAATGTGATAGATGCTATATAAAATGCAAGGATTATTATTGTAATAAATTTGGTTTTAAAAATTCACACAGTGCTCTGACTCTCATTTGCTTCCACTGAATTGTTCGGCAAGTATTCCCTAGATTTTTTGACTACATTAAACATGGATTTATGGTACTGTATCTTTCAACAAGGAACTTGCTATCTGGACCCTGTTCAAAAGGGTTCAAAAGCATACCTTTTAAAAAGTTACAAAGATTTATAATAAATTACATTAGAATATACAGCACAGAAACAGGCCATTTGGCCCAACTGGTCCACATGAGCCTCCTCCTGCCTTTCCTCAACTAAGCCTTCAAGCATAACCTTCTATTCCTTTCTCCCTCATGTACCTATCTAGCTTTACTTTAAATACATCTATGCTATGAATTAAATATATATAATTGATTCTAACATACTTCTTTTTATTTGAGCTGATTTTTAAAAGATAGTACACTGGACTCAATGTTGAAGCTGACAGTGCAAGGGAGTTAAGAGTTACAGGAGAAATGCAGCCAGTAGCACAAGGCACTGGCTAGGTGAGATTACAGTGTGGCAGAGCTGAGATGCAAGAGATTTAAACAATAGGACATTGTAATGACCAGCTGAAGCTATTGGCCCTGACAGTGAGAGGGAATTTATACAGTCGATATTTCTTTGTCTCCAGTGTGAGTATATTCATGAAAATGCAGCTCCTTTGAATTATCGTTCTCAGTAACAACTTGAAAGTCAGCTGTCATCAGTAATCACTCTTTAATAAATTCACAAAACTTTAAAAATAGCCAAATAGACAAAACAGAACAAAATATTAAGACTGGTTCTGTTGGCTAGACTGAACACTGCAGGTCTTTATTTCCGTGAATAGGCTCCTGCACAACCAGACAACGATTTCCTTTTCCTTTGAATAATGATCTACAGAAGTAGAATGATTCTGCTCTTAAAAAAAAGCCACACGCAGATTACGTGCTTCTGAGCATTCTTCCCACTAAAGTAGAAGCAGTTACCAATAGAAATGAGAAAGATTAGAAGGTATAAATCATCTGTTTTCAGTGGGCTGGACTTCCTCACAGCTCTACCTTATTATATCCTTCACTGGTTCTTTTCAATTCACTGGATTCTTGAAGTTGCTTCAATGTACCTGGAGATTATAACAGTTTAACTATGATGGCCATTTTGAATTTCATGGCATGGTTAGGCTGCTATTGCTCTCTCTGGTCTAGTGATTTAAATGCTCATAATTTTTTAAAAATTGAATCAGCATTTTCTGCTAAGACATGATCACCTCCCACCACCACGTCTCTCAGTTGCGCTTGCCATATTGCAGACAATGCAGGAAAACCTTTGAAATACTTTGAGATATCCTCTCAGCATGAAAGGGACAGATCAAATGCCAGGATTATTATTATCGCTCCTCTTTTCCTCCAGTATGACTAACCCGGATTTCAGTGATTATTTATGGGGGTTGTTTGCTGGTTATTCTCCTGTTCTGGTAGCTGTCTTCTATAGTTCTTCCATTTTACCACTCCCTGTGCTTGCAGGATCCCTGACTCTGTGAGCTCCTGGGTACTTGCCTTGCATTTCTTTAGCAGCAGTTGGTTACAAAGATAAACTCTGAGATTAATCAAGCTGCCTGGCAACGTTCCACAGTAATTAATGAGCTGTGTCAAATGATTTCCAACAATACTTTCACATTTTCCCCCAGTCCCTTTCATTGCAGCTATCTGTATTCAGAGGAGCTGGGTGGGTGTAGCGAAGGACTGGCACTGCTTATCAGAGGGACACAGGATTACTGTTAAGTTTATCGCCGGAGCAGCAAGCAGTACATAGAAGGCCTGAGTCAAGTATTCAGACCCAGTGCCTTTCATTCTTTGGAACAAAGTCTTTAAGGACTTAGCTACTGCTTCCATCTATCTAACAACCACTGCCATTCTCACCTATTTTATGAAATTTAACTTGTCAGAGGATTTAAGTGTTCCCAAGCTCCCCAGACTGGCTAGGATCAGACTCCCCTGTTATTGTGGGAGCTATATCAAATGCAAGGATTATTATTGTTATTGGTGGCATTTTTGTAATGTTTAGTGAGATGCAATTCGCCCGGTGCCATGGTTCTTTGAACTGCAGCAGCTCTTGTAGAAAATGTTCAAAGTGTTTTGTAATCCTATTGCACCATCTAAATCCCTTAAGTATTATTTTTCAACATCAGCCAAGTAACTCCAACAGGAAAGATAGAGTGAAAAGAAATCAAATCTCCCTAGCTAAAGAGCAGACATTCCATTAGGCCCTGACCTGGGCAGCTGATCTCAGTTGTTCATCACAAGCTGCAGAGTGCTTAAAGAGGCATGCATTAGCAGAAAAAAAGATAAAAAGGGATTGGGCTATGAGCTAAGGAGAATGGAATCAGTCTCCTGTGGATATCAGGGTTGCATTAATCAATACAGGTTTCACAGGAATTGACAAGTTAGGAAGCAGCTAATCTGGCTCCGGTGGCCGAGAATACAAATCTTTCTTTGCAAATTTTCTCCTCTGACAAAAACAGAGATTAGGCTGAAGAAGCCCTTCACCCATTTGACGTCATTACGAATGCCCACCCTATCATGCTTCCCTCACAGCATTTTTAAAAAATGAATCCAATGTCCTAGCCTCAGACACACTACTCGGTAACATATTCCAATCGGGAACATGTTACCAAGAAGCTGTAGGGTAGCTCCCTTACGTTGTAGTGACTAAATTGTACACAGTGCTCTCTGTACAGCTTGACCAGAGCACTATATAGCTCGAGTATAACTTCTGGGGATTTAATCTCAATTGATTTCGTAAAACGGCTCATCATCTTTACATTTCTTCAACGGCCACAGGTTTTCTATGGATCTTCTTCAAATGTGCATTCTATGAATCATTTTGTATAATGGAGCTTAAAGGCTGTTTTGTGAGAGTAACCCTGTGCTATCTGTTTAGAAGTGTTAATTATAAATAACCACTTTACTCCAGATTGTACAATGTGGTGTAGGAGGTTTTGTCTCCTGAGTACCATCTGCAAATGGGGGTAGGGACAATTATAAACCTCTCACTAAAATGTTAAACTAAAATGTTTCCATTTGTTAACCCATTTTTTATGTTATCTTAAACAGGTATAAATGTTGAAAGAGGTTCATTGTGTATCCAAATATTTGGAAGGATTGAAGAGCCCGCCATCACACAATGGCCAGTAATAGAAAAACAGTTCACATTTTCCTCGGAGCACCAGTTATTCCAGCAAAGCAGCAAAGTTCAGCACAGAATATAACTGGGGACAGCTTGGAAAAGTGGCATCAGTGCCATGTTAGGTATGATAAAGAATCTCTCACTATTGCTCCTAGAGATTGTGGAGCCAAGGACTTTGGGCAACATCTGAATGGCCATGAAGGAATGCTGCTCAAGGACAATGAAGAATCTTCCATCGTAGGGTACAGAAGTGGTGTAGGCTATGGGACAACCTCTAAGGAATGGTCGTTTCAGATCTGTGGTCCTACTTGGCAGAAACAAGGAGGGAACATCCAGTCTAGTACCAGACAGATGGGTGACCAGCACCACAGGGCATTAAATAATCAAGAACATTCTGAAAGAGATTTCAAAATAATCGAAGAGCATAAGATGAACCCTACTCGCACAGGAGAAAGGTTCGAAAGATCTGCAGGATGGTATCACCAGCTCATCAACAGGCAAAATATTCAGGGTAGTAGGGGATCCGGGAAGCTCCTGCAGCCTGTGGCTACTGAGGAAATGGACGAAGATCACCCAGATTCTACTAACAGGATAGAGGAACAGAATGCTATTTTGCCACAAGACTCATCTCTTGTAGATTGCTCAAAATTGCTTCAGGCTTCTCTCGTGGAATACTTACAAAGCAGTTTTCCAGAAGAAGCCAAGGCCCCAACAAGTTGTGCAGAGTCTCTCAGCATGCTGCCTGCTAGACAGGGTGCTATTCTCTCACAGAAATGCTCTAACAACCATCTCAACACCCAGGGAGCTCGTGGAAATGAACCGTCACAAATGGAAAAAAACATGAAGCCTGCTGAAGTCTCCCGTCAACCCTTTGCATCGAAGCATAGTCCTGATATGCTGTCCAGATCGTGTGCCATTGAATCAGAATGCAGGCTCATTGACATTTCAGATAATACCGCAGAACTCTTCAGCTCATTAAGTGAACAGAAGCCATTGCCCACCGATGAAATGATATGTAGGCATGAAAGAATATCAGAAGGTTCAGAGCTGCTCTTCAGCCCCTTTAATGACTGGTCCAAAGGTAATAGTGAGGTTAATATTGAATTGTACAGCGGAGGAATCCTGTGCTCCCAGATTTCAAACAGCGCTCAGCAGTCTTTCAAAAGATCAAGAGTGGCTGATAATGAACGTGAGGAACTATGCCATACTCTAATAAAACCTTCAGTTTATGCACTTAAAGAATTGCCAGCATCCAAGAGAATGAAAGAGAATGACTCTGAGAGAATTTCTGATCTTGGACACTATCTGAAGGCAAAACAGGACACACAGCAAACGTCCAGAGTTGGCTATGTAAAAACAGAACGGCTCGGAAACTGCACTGACGGAGGTAGGAAGTACCACCTCTTAGTAGCAGTCCTACACCGCTGCCAAGTGAAGGAGATAGTAATCAAATCGGGACCATTTGCTCGAAACAGAGTTCCTATAGCGACTATTGTAGTCACAGACAAATCAGGGGCCAACCGGAAGATTGTCTTGTGGCGTGCCACTGCTTTCTGGGCACTGATAGTCTTTCCAGGGGATATTCTAATAATAACAGGTAAGGTAGCAGAACCAGAGACTCAACCATTTCAGTACAGTTGATGTATGATTTGTAATGTTACAATTTATTCCTTAATGTAAGTAAGCAAGTTAACTGTCCAGATGCAAAATGTAAGCATTAATTTCTGTTCATGTAAAGAAAGAAAATAGGTGGGAGTTGGGATAATATCTATATCCAGTAGAGAAGCCAGCATAAGGCTAGACTTGATAGGCCTGTGTGCAACAACCTTCTTCTGGGAAACTGCCAGTCTACGAGTTAATGCATTAGCAACTTGAATCCCCTGCCTTACCTGCTGCACAAGTGTGAGGACCATCACCCCTGCCTTAGCTGTTGATCTCCATTTTCATGATCCACTCACATTGTGCTTTATTACATTCTCTGTGTGTGCTCCTTTTAATCCATATCTGCTTTGTTTCTACAAATGACAGTACTTATTCTCACCCCTTTTTTCTGTGTATTTTTTAGTCTTTAATCAGTCTTTTCCATCTTTCTGCATGCATTTCTTTCTCCTTATTCCAACCAAATAGCTTTGCTTGGCCTCTTTGGATCTCAAAGACAGCACAGAAAGAGGCTGTTCAATGCATTGAGCCATTGAGATACACGTGATGTCTTTATTAGTGAATACAGTATATTATATTGCAGCTTTACAAATGATAGGAGAATGCTTACCTGGGAATCCACGTCACTTCTTTGTCCAGGCTCGTTTCTTTGCTAAGGTATTGCCGAGAGTCATTGTCAAAAGGAAACTTTTGACGGAAATCTCCAACACTTAAACCAAGCCTCTGTGCTTCTCTCAGTGAACTGGCAAAGGAAGCTGGAAGCAGATGGCTGAAATAACAATCTGCAGGCATAGTATTTCACCCCTAGAGATGGGCAGTGACACATCAGCAAAGTCTACCTCCTTACATGAACAAGATGTTTTCATTGCCAATAGTACTTTAAAAGGATCATATGTCATTTTGTGTGCTTGGATTAAGGAGTGGCAGGTGAAGAAGTAACTTGCATTTTAATAATAATGATAATAATCCTTACATTTAATATAGCACCTTGTCACATCTTTGAGATGTGTTTTGTGGGTGAAACGGCCAAATGCGCACAGCAATGTCCCACAAACAATCGTGGATTGAGTAACTGGGCTGTTAGGAGTCCTTGATTTCTGCCATTGGAAGCTCTTATTGAACTAATCAAATACTTTGGAGTCGTTTTATCACAAAAGGTGTTTGGGTGAAGGCACTTAAGCCCATTTGATCTCATCTATCCTCAGTACCCACACTACTTTCTTTCCATTACATCATTAAGATGTTTCTTAAAAGAGTCCAGTGTCTTGGCCTCTGCCACGTTTCCTGATAATCCACTTCATGGAATCTTACATTTGAAAATGAATTGGAAAGAAAGACAGTAAGTGCTATAGAAACCACTCATTAGATGTGTTGAGGTAAATATTGTGGAAGGTGAAAGCCCTGGCGCTTCTCACTGGATTGTTCTAGCAGTCAGGAACTCCACTCGCCTTTTTTTCTGCTTAGTGACTTGCCAAGTATTGTTTTTGATGAACAGAATTAGAGTTGTGCAAAGTAACAGGATGTCTTTAGCAGTGTGGGAAAGGAACTCTGCCAGAAACCTTCTAGGGGGAGGAGGATGCAGGAGGAAGGTAGTTGCAGTAAATTCTGTTCTGTGATGTTAACTTTCAACCTTTTAAAAGCTTGACTGCAATAAACTTCCCTCTCCTTTCAATATTCAAACCTGGGGCTTGAATGCATAACATTCCATATTAGACATTCATCTCTCACAATTAATTCTTATAACCCAAATCTCAGTTCTAACCAGATGGTTATCCAGCTGTCCTTTTGTAATTCCATCAGCTTCAATCTCCTTTAAAAGCTTCGCAATTGGAACATTGGCAAATTCTTTCTGAAAATCTTCATAGATTACTCTCTACAGTCTGAGTACATCTTAATTCTCTGCTCCGTTTCTATATTTATTTATTCCCATGTCCCCTGAATGTCCCCTGAATCCTGGGTATTGCTCACTCATCGGTAATTTGCCAATCTATCATCTGTCATGTGTCAGTCAGGACATCAGTCAGTAGCTTATCCAGCAACTAGAATCCAGGCCATGCCAGTTACCAACAGTCACACGCTCACATACCTTTTAGCACTATCACTGGGAAGCAATGAAGAGTAGGAACTTGGTCATCTTTTCTGATAATAATCTTTGTATTTGATATAGCGATGCATTTCGTTGTTGAGACATCTCAAAGCGCTTCACAGGATATACCATAAAGTGAAGTGACTGTATATTTTGTAGGAGAAACCCTGATATGGGACCGTTTTGTATAGAGAACACAGTATCTGGACCAATTCCATTTTACTATCACCTCACTGGCACCAACCCACATTGCTATTCTAAGAGCTGAATTGGGGCTGTGTTAACTCTCCCACCCATTTCTCTCTCAAATGCCAACAGTGTCTCACCAGCAGCTCCACACAATTAAAGATTATTTTTGGAGGTTTGTTTTGAATAGCGATTGAAAGTACAAATCGACAGGACCTTTATATCATGCAGGGCGGTACCAGTTATTCTCAAGCCTCTTAATCAGCCAGGACCACATTTCCTCAGACTCTAAGGGAATTAAAAACATTTAAGAATAATTGCTGACGGTTAACCCTTTGGAGCACTGCAGTTTCACTAACACAGAAGTACAGTAGAAGAATGATGAATATTCAAAAAATGAGTTGCAGACCTTATACATCACTATTTATTTATTACAATACAGTATTGAATCTATTTACAGTGACTCTCTTGCTCCAGATCATAAGGAGCTCTCTAGGGCTTTAACACACTGTTGAGAAGACTCAAAGCACTTTACAGAATATACTGCAAAATGAACTGACTGTATAGTTTGTGAGCGAAATGCGGCAGCCAGTCATGGATTGAGTGACCACATATTTTTATGGGTAAAATGACTGCTGTTTTATTTGACAAAAATGGTCATTATATTTGAGAGTAATACCTGTATAGTGCTTTACATGTTTTGATTGTAACAAGGCATAATAGGTAGGATCTTTCTGTCTAATGTCGATGTAACCAGTTTTTATGTTTCTCTGTGCTCCTCATGGTTCCTGTAACTTTAGAGGGTGTTTCATCCAAAGCTGTCCTGCTGCTATTTTTCTGTGTTCTGGCGCTTGTTATGGATATCTGGCAGTGGGAGAAGCACAGGTGACATTGTTGACTCTCCATTCCAATAGAACTAGATTGCCACCTGCTGTTCCAGTTGCAGCTACTGCAATTAATGCTATTAGAGGAAACCACATATGCAGTAAGGATTTATGGATGTAATATTTTAAACCAGATTCAAATCTTCCTCTTATTTTATGCTGACACCAGGCATGCACACCAGCGAATCTCCAGTAACATCAGTTAGATCCTTACTTTCAGTCAAGTCCAATCCTAGTCTTTCAGCTCCTCCATAGTCTTGTATTGCTGTTTGGTAACAGGGGATAAGAGGACTTTGTAAAGAGAGATTTACTCTGTATATAACCTGTTCTGTAGCTGACCTGGGAGTACTGGTTGCGACAGCATAGAAGAATATTTACTATGCTTTTGATCTGCTCTACCCTTACAGATGTCACTTTATACAGAGATCACTGGCGGGGAGAGGAAATGCTGCAGGCTACCCAAAGGAGTAAAATGATCAATTTGGGACCCTGCCTCCTAGTTCAGCCAGCACAGTGTAGGTATTTCATTCTATTTTATACAGAAAGTACAAATGTAGGTTCCCAATGTGCTGGGTTTAGGGACAAAGTAAGTTCCCCGTTTTACTCCAATAGCATGTGATGCATGTCTTTCTAAATGCCGCAGAGCTAGTTAAGTTCAGGTGGTTATAACCACCACCTGAAATCAGCCACGTGTATTTGTTCTTTTCGTGTGTACCCACTGAGCTATGGGGAGGCGAGAAGTGTGTTTTCAAACCGAGACAGTGGGATTGGGTATTTCTCTTACCCTGATATCAACAGTGTGCTCGCTGGGGGGTGTTCGTTCATTGTGTGGTGCCATTGTATTTTAGCTGGGTCATTCAGCTTGTGGATATGGCTACAATGATCAGTAGGATAACTAATTAATTCATTCATATTAATAATTAACTAATTAATGAATTTAATTAAGCTGATTCATCAAACTAATTCATTCATATTAATATTAACTAATTAATGAATTTAATTAAGCTAATTCATCAAACCTCAAATTATACTTCCGAGTATATTAAAAATAGCCATAGTGGCATTAGCCTACACCTGAAGACACCGGATAGTTGAAATCTTTACTTATCTTTATTTACTTAGCACCTTTGGTCACTCTTTAGACCAGTTTGTGGAGCATAAGCCCAGCATGTTTCACCAGTGGGGCCTTAACCTTACTAACTTGATCTTTTAACTCCATCCCATACCTAGTCAGTTTTATAGTTAAACATTTGCAATGCTGCCTGTTTGTGGTGTTGTAATATTTCTGTTTGTTTGCATAAGGGTCTCACACAGTGAGCGCTGCTGCCCTGGAGGAGCTCATTGTCTGGATTACTGGACAAAAGTCTTACCTTCTGAGTATGGGATCCAGAAACCATCAGCATCTTGCCTCTAAACAATATGCGAGCCTAGATAAACTGCACCCAGATGTGGTGGTCCATGCGCTTCTGAGAGTCGTCCTCATCACCGTTCTCTCAGGTCTGTATCTTCTGACCTTTCTAGCTTTTCCTCTTACCAATTAGAGTGGCATTGCAGATGGATAAGAGCATATAAAAACCTTGGTTTCAATGTGGAGGTACAATATTCAAAATTGAGGAGGTAAAGTTGAACTTGTACAGGACCTGACTTAAGCTACAGTTGGAGAATTGTGTACCGATTTGGGCACCCCATTATACGGGGGTTATAAAAGCAACAGAAACGGTACTGATTAGAATCACTAGCTTGTCACCAGAGATGAAGGGATTGATCAGTTATGAAGAGAGTCTTGAGAAGTTGTCAACTTATCTCAATTGGTAGCACTCTCCCTCATTTCTCTCTCTCGTTCCTTCTGCCCCCCCTTCCCCCCCCTTTTTTCTGTCTCTCTTTCCCTCCCTCTGCACGTTGGAGTCCTGTAGCTCAGTGGTTAGAACACTCACCTCGCAAGTGAGAGACCTGGGTTCAATTCCCAGCAGGGTGAAATCTTGGGCAAGTTTCCTTACTCCACATACCTGATAATAATCCCTCAAGGAAAAAAAAACAATAATAATTTGGTCACTCAATCCACAACTGTTTGTGGGACACTGCTGTGCGCAATTGGCTGCCGCGATTCGCTCACATATATATTCAGTCAATTCACTTTACAGTATATTCTGTGAAGTGCTTTTAGACATCTAGAAGACGTGAAAAGCGTTATATCAAATGCAAGGCTTATTATTTATTATTATTTTACTTACTTTCCCTTTAGCTGTATTTACTTTTGTCCACAGAACACAGTCAATCCACTTTAGAATATATCCTGTGGAGCACTTTGAGACGTCTAAATGACATAAAAAGGCGTCTATGAAATGCAAGGATTATTATTATTACTTCAGTCACAATCTCTATTGTCAGTTTATCTATTACAGCTCATAAATAACATTGTAATAACTAGTACTTTTAAAATTCTATTACTTAATGTTTCAAGCTCAAGAAATATTTAAACCTTCCTGTAGGAACTGAGAGAGCAATGTTTGTTTCGATATGTTCTATATAGAGACTGCGTACTTGTATGGTGGAAAGGAGCAGCAGAAAGTGTTGCTGGAGGTGGAACAAGTCAAAGGTCAACAAGCCCCACTGATACTTTGGGGAAATTCAATATCCTGGCGTGCTCAGATTCAGAAGAAACAAGGTGAGGTAAACTCTTATCAATAAAGTATATACTGGACAGTTTGTGAGGTATGACTGAATACTAACACTTAATAATAATATTAATGCGTCCTTCCAAGGAGAGTTTGCATTCCATTCCAACAATCTATCTCTGGAATTTCCACGTGTTGGTCGGATGTATGGAATTCTCACTTTGGTTTGGATACTCTTAAGCACTGTGGTGGGTTTCCGCATGTGTCAGACACCCGGCTGACCAAAACAAAACTTAACACTGAACCGTATGGGAGGTTTGACTGAATACTAACACTGGACATTGTGCACGGTGTGTGAGGTGTAAATAATGAACCATCCACTGAGGGTAAGGTATGGTTGAAGCTTAATAATGAACATATTCATTATTAATAAAGGAACAGTCTTTCTAACCTCTGGATTACTGCTTCTCGTGTTTATTTACTAGCGAGTCCTTGTTTTTGTCATTCGTTTAGATCATGTTTGGAGCTTTAGAAACCTGCTAGTCTGTCAGAATGCCATCACAGGGGACCTAGAACTGCACAGTACTCCTTGGTCATCTTGTGAGTGCCTGTTCGATGATGATGAAAGAGCAATTGAGTACATGACAAAATACCACTCGGGTGAGACAGCTTCTGTCAAAACCATGGCCCTTTCAACCCTGTTGAGTACGAGATACTCAGGTGCGTGGCCAGTGATAACTGCATTACATTCACCTAAGGATTATTGGATGATTTGCTCAGCAGCAAATCTCTGTGGATTTCTGTGGTTGTAGTGAGTGTGATAAGAGTGAGACATATTACAAATTATTTTATTTCCAGTTGTATTAATTAGCCCAGTGTAATAGGGCAATGTTTAATAATGTTATACCCACCGTTATCAATTATTATTGACAGGTTAATGCTTGAGCTGCATAGCCAAGGACAGATAACAGGAAGTTTTTCTTTATCCCAGAATGCAATTAATAATAATAATCCTTGCGTTTGATATAGGCGCCTTATCACATTGTTGAGACATCTCACAGAATATACTGTAAAGTCAATTGACTGTATATTTTTGTGGGCGAAACTTGGCAGCCAATTCCGCACAGCAGTGTCCCACAAACATTCGTAGATGAGTGACCAAATTTTTAAAAAAGGGATTATTACCCCCGGAAAGCAATCTGCCCAAAAACCGGGTTCCTACATGCTGCTTACTGCTAGGCATGTGGAGAAGGAAACTTAATTAACAATTGGAACAGGTTACCAGGAAGGGTGCTGAGGCCAGGGAACTGAATTGATAAAAACTTTATGCAGGGTAAAGTCTTGGAGTGCTGATAAATAGCTTGGTGTTGTAATGGGAGAACGATAGGATGGATGTTCTGGAAGTTTTAGATCAGTTGGACTGAAAGGCCTTCTCCATCTGAACTAATCTTATGATCTTGTCAATCGGCTATTCATGAAAGGAGAGAAAGAGCTGAATGTGATTGCTCACTTTCAACAAATTTTCAACAGCTACGTATACTGAGAACCTGCACCAGGGAGCACTGTAGTGCTATTCTAAACATTGATGGAGATCAGCAGAGCTGGACCCTGCCACTAGATAGCATTAGAATGCAAGGTCTAATATCCTGTGAAACTCTGAGCAAACAGACTGATATCCAATAATATCATGACTCTATTTGACATACCATCTTACCATCCTATGATTATTTTAATTTCAATCACTTCATCCAGTAACATAGTGATGGTTGCAAATAATAACATCAGCTTCCTGCAGTGTTATAGAACCCAGGATTATAGCATACAAATGATGTGGTTTATGATATCATCTAAATTCCTTGATTGAATTAGTGACATTGTGTAATCCACTGCCAGCTTGTCTCCTCAAAACAGTAACTGCAGGTCTTTGTAGAGAATAGAACTGAAGAATCACATAACAAATTTCATAACTTCCAACATAGGCTCAATTCAAAGTGGGATTTTGACTTTAAAGCTATAAATATTTAGCACCAACTTTGGTTTGGATCTTAGGGATCACAAGAGGTATTTATTTCAATGTTATAGACTTTCCTTAGTAGTAACAATGGTGGAAAAAGTAGCTTTTTCTTCTTTTTAATCCACCTTTCCTCAATTGTTTATTCAGCGACCATTCTACAACTCAGAAAGCAATTATGACAAAAATGCTCTTTGATGGTGAAGAGTGTTTTGCCCACAAAGTACACAGTCACTCCACTTTACAGTATATCTTGTGAAGCACTTTCAGATGTCTTGATGATGCAATAAGGGCTATAAATCTGAACTGTCATATCAACTTATTTCATTTGTACAAACAATGCATCTAATATCATGCTACATATGATAGTGCTTCAGCCTAGTAAAACAGAGCATTATATTCAATTTTAAAAAAATTTGGTCTTTTCAAACCCTGTCCAATCAGATGCAATCTTGTTAAACTAATTTTAATTTGAGTTTCATGGCGAGCAACAAACATGAACTGCAATTAATCACAATTCCACTGGAACTGCAGACCTCTATACTGCTTTCTTTTACCAAATGACACAATCCCTGCTTGTGTCCTTCTTTTGTAGGAGACATTCAATTCAAGGCCCACATTGTTGGCATTCAGTGGAATGGTTCTTGTACACGGAGTTCCTTGTTCAACATGGATGCCCTGACACCACTGGAGACTGTCCTATCCTCTCTATCCCATTTTACATACTCAGGCTGTGGAAAATGTGGCTCTGAGCTGGGACTGGATGACAACAATGTGTACCAGCAGTGCATTCCATGCTTACCATACAACACTGTGCAGATCTATTACAGGTCAGTATTAAGTGCTTCTTCTTTCCACGGATATAGGAAAACCTGCAAGCGTCAATGGGTTCAGGCATTTCAAAAACCATAAGAACAAGTACTTAAGTGTGTAAGTAGCAAAACAAGAATGTTGACATCAGATGATGCCTTTTGAAAGGCCTGAATGTTGTTGAGTGACTGGCTGTGTGACAATGAATGAGAGAGAGATTGGCTTTGTGAGTGGAATAGTAGCTGATCAAGGAGTGTTGGGTACACAGTATAGTTTACTCTGTATCTAACCAATATTGTTCCTGACCTGGAAGTGCTACAACAGTACAAATAGAGTTAATCTCAGTATCTGATCTGTGTTATACCTGTATATTATAGTGCCCTTTGATATAGACAGTGCCTTGGAACATCCTTCCAATGTGAAAGGCGCTATACAAATGTAATCTTGTTGTTGTAGTGTGGCTCACTTATAGCATGGGTTTACTGACCTGATTCACCTGGCTTCTGGCACTAATGAGTCGTCTTACTACACTAAAAAATGTCACTTCCAGACACCATGTGCCTGAAATAATAATAATCCTTGGATTTGATATAGTGGCTTATTACCTCTTCGAGACTTCTCAAAGCGCTTCAACTAATAATACGTCCTGCATTCACATCAGCTATTTGCCAGAAGTGCCTGTGATATCACTTCACAAAGGAAATGACATTGTCTGTGCTTCTTGCGCATGGCACTCAGGAAGTAACATCAGCGGGCGATCTAACAACCCAGAAGGCAGCCATTTTGAATGCATTGCTTACAATGCGGCCTCTAAACTATTGGATTCATCTGACCATGCTATAACTTTATTAATACTTGCTGTTTGGGAGGACTTGCTCATTGGGGGTACTTTGGGGGATAACATAACATTGAGAATACTTCATTTTGGCAACAGTAACAGCAATTAATAGTTCATATAATTATACCGCACAGAAGGAGGCCATTTGGCCTATCGTGTCTATACCGGCTCTTTGAAAAGAGCTATCCAATTCAATCCCACTCCCCTGCTCTCTCCCCATAGCCCTACAAACTTGACCTTCCCAAATAATTATCTATTTCCCTCTTAAAAGCTGTTATTGAAACAGCTTTCAGGCATTGCATTCCAGATCCGAACAACTCGCTGTAAAAAAAATTTCTCCTCACCTCCCCTCTGTTTCTTTTACCACCTATTTTAAATTGGTGTCGTCAGGTTACTGACCCATCCGCCAGTGGAAAGAGTTTCTCCTTGTTCACCCTTTCGAATCCCCTCATAATTTTGAAAACTTCTATTAAGTCTCCTCTTAACCTTCTCTGCTCCAAGGAGAATAATCCTAGTTTCTCTCGCCTCTCCTGATAACTGAAGTCCCTCATTCCTGGTACCATCCTGGTAAATCTCCTTTGCACTCTTCCAATGCCTTGACATCCTTCCTAAAGTGTGGTGTCCAGAACTGAACAAGGTACTCCAGGTGAGGCCTAAGCAGTGTTTTATAAAGGTTCATCATAACTTCCTGACTTTTGTATTTTATGCCCCTATTTATAAAGCCTAGTATCCATTATGCTTTTTTAACAGCTTTATCTACCTGTCCTGCCACCTTCAAAGATTTACTTATATGAACCCCCAGGTCTCTGTTCCTTCACCCCCTTTAAGATTGTATCATCAGCTAGTATTGCCTCTCCTCATTCTTCCTCCCAAAATGGATCACTTCGCATTTCTCAACATTAAACTTCATCTGCCACACGTCTGCCCATTTTACTAGTCTGTCTATGTCCATTTACAGTCTCCTACCATCCTCCACAAGTTCTTAATTGTGGAGTTCCTCTCTCCTTTAATACAGTTTTATGTTGACGCAGGCATTAATCCCAGATACTCCACTGATAATTGTGTATACGTCTCAAATATCCTGGTCTATCATACCTTGCAGTGAATTAACTTTTCCCCCATGCCTTGCCATTGCACCCTGCTGCTGACTGTTGCCAGTTTTGTTAATCAGATTCTAGCCTGATCAGCCTCATTAAATATTTTATATTATATTCGTGGAGTCCTGTAGCTCAGTGGTTAGAGCACTCACTTTGCAAGCGAGAGACCTGAGTTCAATTCCAGGCAGGTCAGGGCGAAACCTTGGGCAAGTTTCCTTACTCCACACGCCTAATAATAATCCCTCCAAAAAAAAACAAAACAATAATAAATTGGTCATTTTCAATCCACGACTGTTTGTGGGACATTGCTGTGCGCAATTGGCTGCCGCGTTCGCCCACAAATAGACAGTCAATTCACTTTACAGTGTGTTCTGTGAAGCGCTCTGGGACGTCCTCCTGACGTGAAAAGCGCTATATCAAATGTGAGGATTATTATTATTATTATTATTTTTTTTTTTCTCCTTCATAAATAGGAGATCCCAATCTGCTCTTTCATACTCTGAAGACTTTAATCACATTAAAATATCAACAGGAGCTGACTGCTGAAAAGACAATGAGTTAGACTCATTGCAAGAAGGAAACTAAACTCACATAAACATCTGAAATAACATATCACTGAACTGTCCTAAATCTTAGTTAATTCAGATCATCAGCAATATTAGCTTAATATTAAGCAAAAATATTACTATATAATGACAAATTTTGTCAAGTTTCAATTTTGTCTCTTTACATCTATTTTCTTGAAGGTTGTGACTCATGCGGTGGACGCTTGCATAGTCACAGGCAAACTTCTGGTAGCTCATCTATCCCTACCCCTCTCCTTAGTGTGTTCTGTGAAGCGCTTTGGGACGTCCTCCCGACGTGAAAAGCGCTATATCAAATGCAAGGATTATTATTATTAGTGTGTTCTGTGAAGCGCTTTGGGACGTCCTCCCGACGTGAAAAGCGCTATATCAAATGCAAGGATTATTATTATTACCCCCTAATAACAGACATCATCAACTTCTCTCTCTGTCCACTGGCATCATTCCCATCCCCTTAAAAACAGCCGTCAGCCCTACCCTAAAATAAAGCTTCCCTTAATCCATCTCTGTTCTCTAATTACTATCCTATCTCTAATCTTCTTTTTCTTTCCAAGGTCCTGGAACCAGTCGTTGCTCCCCAGTTTTGCTCTTTATTCTCCCACCTCTCCAGTCTGGTTTCTGTGTTGTTCACAGTACAGAGACAGCCTTAGTCAAAGTTACAAAGGACATTCTGTCCAACTGTATGCAGGGCTCTCCCTGTCTCCTCAGCCTTCTCAATCTTTCTGTTGCCTTCGACACAATTAACCATTCTAATTTTTCTTCACCGCTTCTCCTCTCAGCTCCACCTTCATGGTTCTGTCCTTGCCTGGTTTCACTTTTACCTTTCCCATCATCTCCACTTTGTACGGTTTCTACTTCAGCCCTTGTATAGTCACATGGGGTGTTCCTCAGGACTCTAGCCTTGGTCCTCTCTTTAATCTTTAAATGTTCCCATGATACAATCTGCAGACATGCGGTTAACTTCCACATGTATGCAGATGACACCCAACTCTATCTCTTTATCTACCCTTGAGTCTAGGAACACTGCTGTCCTGACAGATTGTCTGTCAGACATCACGTCCTGGAAGAGAGCTAACTTTCTCCAGTTGAATGTCGACAAGCTTGATCTTCCACGCATGCGCACACACACATATTCAACCAGTGTCACTGGATAGTGGTCAGAAGCGCAAATTCATATTCTGTAAGCCAGGTTTTCTTTGCCTCTATTTCAGGCCCACCACCCTTGTGGTTACAGATGAAGATTCCATGATTGATGTCCACGTCTCATCCAAAATCATGGAAAAGATCTTTCACCACATCCCTCCTGGACGGCTCTGCAAAGTCCAAGGTAAATGGGTTATGTATTATTTCAAATACCAAAATTTAGCAACAGCGTGATGAGCTACAGCTTATGAGCTGGGACTGTTACTCAGCCATCATTCCCAAAGTGGTGTCAGATCAGGGCTTTCCCTAGAGCAGAGGTTTCTAAACTTTCTGGGCTCAAGGCTCCCATGACATTAGGCATCCTAACTAAGGATCGCCACACAATAAATCCATAGAAATACGCCATCCACTTTGCTGGTATAAGGTGTTTCGTTGTTGAGGTGCTGACGAGTGATCCATGGAAACGTGCCTTTCTCATATGCTGCTTGGGCTGTGCAGGCTTCTTGCAGGGCAGTGAGGCATAACCGCTTGGAGGGCACGAACCCTCTTGGTTCTGGCGCAGATTGGCTCTATTCCACAGCCATTCACTGAAATCTTACAGCCTGACAAAGTGCTTAGATTCCTTATTAGATTAACCATACTGCGAGTTACTGTGAGCCTACCTTTAGGTTGAGAGGTTGTTGCAAGGATTCTTGGGTAGATCAGAGCTCAGCGAGTCCTGCATTCTCTGGTAGTACTCCTTGGGGGCTTATCTAAAGGCCCAGCTCCTTCCTATTTCAAATGATCTCCTCTACCCCATGCTCTGGGCACTCCAGGTTGTCCATCATTATTATTCAGCACTGCAAAAGGCTGCCCTGAAATATAACTCCAGGTAGTAACTTTCCAACTGTTTGGGGTTATTTACAAGAATAACCCAGGTAGTGAAAGGTTTTGCATAACTGCTTAGCAGCCTGTCATTCAGTGTGGGAAATTCAGTTGGTGACATCAGATACATGAACGACATCTGGAAAATTAAAATACCTTCCCTGACAGGCTTTTGCTCTGTTTGCTCTTGCACTTAACTGAGTTAGTGAGCTTTATGCTATGGTGATGGATACATGTTTGTGTGAAAACAGACTTTTCTCATCGACTCCTCAAGCTGTGCTTTAGTCAGTTACCAGCAGTTGCGTGGGACTTTAATATAACATTGCCTTAATTTTTTGAAATCTGGACCCTGACGTTTCTCATGGTTTTAACTTTAAGACTTGTCTTAAAACTGAAGATCATGATGAATGCTTTAATATTCTTAATCTGGTAACTGATTTTCCACCGTTAAGATTAATTAAAGAATTTTCTAAAATTCTGCTTTATTTTAAGATATTTTAGGGCTAAGATAATACTGAGTTCAGGCTTCTGTTGTCTTAACTATTTGTTCATATTATGCGGCTTTTGCTACCACCGAGCAGAACTGTCAGTCATATCTATTCTATTCTCTCGATCTCCAATGTTAATGTACAGAATTCTCTGAGGAAAATGAAAGGCAAATTTCCTGATGTATCCCATGAAGAGAGAGAGAGTTCTTTAGTGTTTCACTGTTTCTCAACGTCACATTTGGAACAAGATCGTGTATCAATGGCATTCCAGTGTGTTACTAAACAAATATTTTATGGAGTGTGTTCTCCATGAAGTGTTCCATTGAGTAAATACACCATGGAGAGTGCAGTGCTGAGCTGAACAGACTGCCAAGGCTCCAGGTTTAGTCAGTGCTTGGGGCTAATTTAGCTGATATCAGACTGGGTGGTAGCAACATTGCTGTAATTGATCATAAATATTGTACTAAATATTCAAGCATGTACTGAATATTCAAGATCACACTGGACAGACCACTGAGTGAGGTATTGGGGATAATGAGCACCAATTGATGAATAGTCCAGCATGAGCCCCTGCTTCAGTATATTCCCCTGCCACAAGGCATGGTCTTCAAAAGGAGTAACATTTCTATAAATTAAATAAACTTGTGAAATACTGGTTTGTGTATTGCAGGTCCATCTGAGAAGGTGTCATATGGGATGGTCATAGCAGAGCTATGCTGCTCCCTGTTTGGTGACTCTAACGACCGCTGCTTGCTGACTGTACAGAGCCAATTCGACCTTGATGAAAACAGCGTCTCCATGAAACAGGATTTCTACTTGTTGGACTTCCACCCAAACGTTTAACCTATGATCTGGTTAGAAACTCAAAGCTACCACTGGAGCCTGCACATGGTGCTTGGGAGGGAAAGTGGGCATCATTTAAATTCAGCTTCATGAGTCACATCAATTATTAATAAATAAATAAATCTGCCTTCAAAAAATAAATTGGTAATAATCTACGACTGTTTGTGGGACCCTGCTGTGCACAATTGGCTGCTGCGTTTTGCTCACAAAATATACATTCAATTAACTTTACAGTATATTCTGTGAAGCACTTTGAGACGTGATAAGGTACTACATCAAATGCAAGGATTATTATTACTAAATGGGAGCATATTCCTGGCTGCTTTGTTTTCTGTACACTGTCACAGGTAAAGTGTTAGTTTTTGACACCTTCATGTTTCCATGGAGTGCATTTTGCTAATTAATTGCTTGTATCTATACCATGACGCATTACTGTTCTCAGGAACTTCAGAAACCTGAAAGCTGAAGTAACCCTCCAGAGGCAAACTCGTAAGCAAAAGACACACAAGAGATGTCTTCCTTTGTGGTTTATTGAGGACATTTATACTGTCCAGCGCCTTGGGACGTCCTCCCGACGTGAAAGGTGCTATACAAATGTAAAAAGAGAAAAGGGAGACATTTACTGCATTTTAGGAGGCTTCGTTCCCAAGCAGTTATAATAATAATAATCACTTAAGCACAGGTTTGAAACAAATAGAAATGTTTCCAAATTCCCTGTATCAGAACCAGCACCACAACTTCTTTCTTGATGACGATAAGCACAGAGATTACTCCTTGACCCTGTGGAAATAGTACAGATTGTTAGTCATCGAGATCATCCCATCTGAGCCTTTAGAGCACTCTGAAGCTGAGTGTATTATAGGCATAGAGCAGCTGGTGTGATTGAAAACTGTGCCCATGACAGCAGGTAACGTCATTTTCATGAGCTGCCTTTTGTTAGGAATTTTATTGCATGTGTTATTGGCTATTTATGGATTTATGCTTAGTTATATTCTTCTTTGCTAATGTTCCCACACCAATTTTCTCCTCTCCTGAAAATGTTTGACCTTTTTCTTTCTGTTGGGGTTACTGTCACCCTCTGAAACTTTGCACAAGTGACCACCGTTCATGTGTAGGTGTTGGCAAGCTGTTTGACGTGGGGTTTTGGGGGGCACAACTGTGCCTATTCCTACCCTAGTCTGGCAACCACTCACATATATCTTCAGTAAGGTGGGAGGCTGGGTCAATGATCAGAGCTGAAATTCTTATCAGTGTTACATGTAGTGATTTGCGCAGTGTGCAGTTATAAAGGGAAAATCCTTTCAGCTTGATGTTAAACATCTGGAGGTCTGAACTCAACTGATTTGGCAATATGGCCCTGCTTGCCTTAATTATTCTGTTTCATACTGAGTGACGAATCAACTCATTCCCTTTGAACTTTCCCCTTGGAAAGTCTGTCTCATACATGGAGAATATGGAGTACAATATTTGTGTTTCTGTGTTGAATACCATCTGCCACTCATCAGCCCAGGTGCATACCTTGATGAGGTTTCTGGAATGTACCATAACTTTGTGAGTGCATTATTTATCCCTGGTGCAGCTAGAGAGAATAGGGTCTCGGCGGCCTGAGGGGAGAGGCAGTGGCCACATTCCACATCTTTCTGTGTAAAGAAAGACATCTTGTTGTTTATCTTCAATCATCCCTTGCAATCCCTGAATCTGTCCCTCTTCACCATCTCCTGGCTGGCTGTATGTGAAAGTTTTTCTCACATTAATAAGTTGTCTTATTAACTTAATGCAAGTTTATAAATATTAGAAAATGTAGGTTTCTGTTATCTGTTCACGGTTGGTGCCTAATGAGGTCAGTGCGAAGTATCAACATGCAGCAGAACAAGGGTCATTAGGCTACTTTGTCAGGAGAAAGCTGGCTTCAATAATGTCAGATATCCTGCCAAGCCAATTAACACTGGCCACTTCCTTAATGTCAACCTCATTTATCACAACAAATGTAAATTTCAGATTCATTGTCAGCTGGAAGGTTACGTTCATTAAAACTGTTAATACGGTATGCCTTTTATTCAGACTGTGTCTGGCCTGAAACATAGCACAAGAAACATATCGCACAGGAAATCGTTGCCCCCCCCCCCCCATAGAACCTATACTGATGCTGGCTCCTACACTAGGCACTAATTATACTAGATCCCCTGATCTTTTCTTCCACATTTTTATATTGCTCTACAAATATTTATTAAAATTATTTTAAAATTTGTCTTATGTTCACGTTCTAGTACCTGCTTTCCTATTTCCACCCACAAAGATATAGGAAGATGATTCTCCCACCCCTCATCTTATCCAGGTACCAGCTGAACAGATCATTGAACACATTTCTTGACCCAAGAGAAGTACAGCCACTTGACTCTTTTAATAACATTCTTGACCATATCAGACATTTGTGGGTTCAAGCCCCATGCCCCCAAATTGAGCTCAGAGTTGAGGCTGATGCTGCAGGCAGAGCTACTGCATTATCCGAATTGCTTTCCTGTAGATGAGGCATTAAACCAAGGTCCATCTGCTTGGTCTTCACATTGAAGATCTCATTGACGAACAATCCTTAAAATAAATGGTCATTCACTTCATTTCTGTTTGCGGTACCTTGTTGCCAAAATGGCTGCTACAGTTTCTGTAGATATAGTGAAGTGCTTTGAAACATTTTCAAAAGATAAGGGTCTATTAAAATGTACCTTTCTTTCTTAGGGTTTGTATTCATTGAAAGTTACCCCTGACATTGAATAGCTTTATTACTGTTGCATTAGTATGGGGTGGATGGAAGAGTGTCAGCTTCACAGTATAAAATTACAACTCATATGATCTTAATTTTTATAGAAGGTATAAGGATAAAGTCATAAGGATTGGGTTCCCTGGCAGGGTTCCCAGGGTTCTTGAAGCAGAGGTTACAGAGGCAGCTCTTGCTGTTGTTGGTAGGGAACTTGCCAATGAGTAACAATAAACATTTTACTTTCAAATTCTATAACGTTAAATGTGGAGTTACACTTGGTATCTGCTGTTGATTGCCCGTTTTGAAGTGACCCATTTTCTTGGTTGATTCAGACAATGTTAGCTTATGGTTGTACTGTCTGAGTGTGAGAAAGCAGGGCAAACAAGCCGAGAGTAAGCCCGCATTAATTAACTTACAATAATTACACAAAACTATGGTATAACAATCTCACACTGTGAAAATCCAAGCTGCTCTATTTATAAGAGCATGAATCAATCAAGCAGAAAAGATCAAAAGAAAAACTAAAGATGCTGGAAATCTAAGAACAAACAAGGTTGAGAAGAGATCAAATTTTGCAGGGATTTAATGAGATAAATGAGGAGAAACTATTTTTACTGTTTGATGAGTTGGTAATTAATGGGTATAAATTTGTTGTCAAACAATTTGAGAAAGAGGCATGGATTTTTATTTAGATAAAGGATTATTAAGATAAGGAATACCCCATTGAAAATAGTGTTTGGAACAGAATCCATAATAGCTCCTAAAAGGGAATTGAGCAAATATTTGAAAAAGAAAAATATTAAAATGTATAGGGAAAAGGCAGGGGATGGGAACTAAATAATAATAATACTTGCATTTGATATTACGCCTTATCAAATTGTTGAGACGGCTCAAAACGCTTCACAGAATATACTGTAAAGTGGATTGACCATATATTTTGCGGGAGAAACACAGCAGCCAATTGCACACAGCAGTGTCCCACAAACAGTCGTGGAACGAATGACCACATTTTTGTTCTGGCATTTGTGCCAGTAGCCACTACTAGAAAGCTACTATCTACTTGAAGCTTAAAATCCCTATTAAAGCTATAAGCACAGTGCAAATATCTCACTGAAGAGAAATTCTTAATTTTACAGCATGTAAAATAAGATTTTTGATTCTGCTGATTGTTTACAGATGATATTATTCTCTTCTAATTGAAGTCTTTGCAATTCGGGAGCACTCTGCCATGCAAGTAGAAGATCACAGGTCTTTACTGAGTTATTGGCTGTCAACCAGGGCAACATTTGGTTAACAATTGAATTCAGCAACCCCTGAGATTGAGAGGGGAAAATTAATCAGGGTTTCTGCTCCTCATTGCTATTCAGATACCTTCTCCACCCCCTTCCCTCCCACTGGAAGCTGTGCAAATCTATATCTGGTATTTCAATGTGTAGTTGGGAGGCATGGAATTCTCAGTTTGGTTTGGATTCTCTTCAACATGGTGACGGGTTTCCCCGTGTATCAGACATGCTGACCGGGAAAAAAAAAGTATGAACATCAGATGATGACAGGATTGGGGTAATATGCAAGGGGTGACATTGATGTAGCAAGTCACTCCCTTGTGTATTTAAAACAGCAGAGTTGGTGCTAATTATAAGATGCTGTTGACCAGATTTACCATTTTTTTTCATTATTACTGATGGATAATCAGGAAAATCATGGTCTTCTGTTTGTTCAGCTATGAGGGAAAGGATACAATGGCTGCATAACTTCAAGACAGCTTATTCAAACTTCCAAATTTTCATCCTCCAATTCCCTTGCAGAGCATTGATGTAAGAGAACATCAAAGAACTGGAATGCATTACCTGAAAGGGTAGTGGAAGCCGATTCAATTTCAACTTCTAAGAGAGAAGTAGATGGGTATTTGGGGAGGACAGGATTGCATGGCTACGGAGGGAAAGCCGGCCAGTGGGATTGAGTTAGATTGCTCTTTTAGGAGCTAGCGCAGATGCGATAATAATAATAATAATAATAATCCTTGCATTTGATATAGCGCTTTTCACGTTGGGCGGACGTCCCAAAGCGCTTCACAGAACACACTGTAAAGCGAATTGACCATATATTTTGTGGGAGAAACACGGCAGCCAAATGCACTCAGCAGTGTCCCACAAACAGTCGTGGAACGAATGACCACATTTTTGTTCTGGCATTTGTGCCAGTAGCCACTACTAGAAAGCTACTATCTACTTGAAGCTTAAAATCCCTATTAAAGCTATAAGCACAGTGCAAATATCTCACTGAAGAGAAATTCTTAATTTTACAGCATGTAAAATAAGATTTTTGATTCTGCTGATTGTTTACAGATGATATTATTCTCTTTTAATTGAAGTCTTTGCAATT